GGGGGGGGGGGGGGGGGAATGAGGGGTGGATTTTTTTTATTAATATTTACAAAATAAAAAATGTTAAAAAAAAATGCAAAAAAGAAATTTAAAGGGCAAAACAGTCAATTCAAGTGTTCCATGGACCAAAACTAGAAAAGTTTTTTAATTTTAGGACCAAAACCAAAGGAAAACCTTGATTTTGGACCATCCATGCAAGTTGAAAATTTTTTGGACCCTATCCAAAGTTTTTTGAATACCACAGGGACCAATTTTGCAATTTTGTCTAGTTAAAAATAATGGATTTGAATGTATTGGATGTGACTCGTGATTTAAGGCGGCAATTTTGTATATAATTTATATTTTTATATGTATTTTCTACTATTATTCATTTTTATACACATATATGAGTCAATGCGGCGTTTTGGTAAAAGCTTGGCGGCACATACAAGCCTTGGAGTCATGGGGTGCCGTAGCGGAGCCATGACGAGCTTTTTAGAACCTTGTTTAAATGCCTAATTAACTGAACAAGAAACAAATAATGGCAAAAACAGCCCCTGAATGTTTCTGGATTTGTTGCAAAACCCTTCGACTTATCTTTTATTACATTCTCTGCTTATTTATGTACAAAAATATTCGCACCAAATCCACAATATTTCCCGCCTACGAATTCACAACCCTGCAATTTTTTCGAATTTCTCCATTCTCCCCCATGAGGGGGCTCGTATTCCCCATCTTAATCATCGATCTAACAAAGTCATCAAGGAAAATCTTCGAGTTATTGCTGTAGATTTCAACTAGGGTTCGTGTAGTCGATACAGCTTCATCACTCGAGTACAGTAATTGATCAGATTCAAGAAGCCCCCTTCCGTTCACCAAGTTTTGAAAGTAATGGTTGTCGAACAAGTCAACGGAATTCCGATCGAGAGCCGTCGTCTTGTTCCCGTCTCCGTTCGCCGGACATTGAGCTTGAAGGTCTGATACCATAGCCTGATCTAATAGCGTCTCATCAGGACCGTTTGTTCCAGAGAAGTTGAATAACCTATTGCTGAACACAGCACACCTCGCTGATCCAATCGTATGCGCACCTTGCAGAGTTTAAATCCAAGTAAGTGAATTCATCAATTCCTAAGTAGATTTAAGAAGTAAACCTTTTTGGATCTTGTTTGTGATGAAAAATCGCACCTGATAGGGATACAACATCTGTAAGGTTGAGGCCGACGGCTAGAAACTTGGCGGTGATATTAGCAACGGATTCGGTGGGGCCAGGGAGGTTGGAATTAGCTCCGGACTGATTCGCCGCAAGTCCATCTCTTCTTCCTAGTGAGACTTTCCACGAAGGCCTTCCACTCTGCAATTCGTATTTCACAGCTGTTTTGTTGGAAAAATTCATTTTACATAGGGTTAGGGTTAATCACCATTGATAATCATGGACTTGCTTACCAAGAGAACTGAATCTTGTGCTGCTATTGCTAGAATGTCAGCACATGAAACTACTCCACTGCATGAGCTTTCTACAGCGGTTTTAATGGCATCAACCACCTCAAATCCCCTAGCGGAATTGATGTTAGGGAAGGCAAACTTCTCCCCATCATTTCCATCCAATAAAATTGATGCATCACAACCCTGCGATGCAAAATGCAAGATATTTAGAGTAAAAAGTCAGCCTTAGGATCATTAGTACCATTATATGCTGCAAAGAAATTGACCAAAAGGTTATGTAAATGGAAGTTGAGGGTAGCTGCATAAGCATCCACTAGTGATAAAATTATAGCAGAGTGGGTAATATGAGTAATACCACCATGAAAGTAGAGTTCTTTAAAAGATAGGTTTTTTAAATGCTTGGCTTTCACTATAGTTAGTGAAAAGAATAAGATGAAACAACTCAGAAGTTTATGTTATATTGAAAGAACTCACATTTACAAAGCAATCATGGAAATGAAGCCGAAGCAAAGAAGCAGCCATTCTTGTTTCAGTCTTGATTGCATTTAGCACTTGTTTACGTACAATATTGGGAAGATTAGGGCATGAAGTTGAGTAGAAATCTTCAGTTAACTGAGATCTTGCAATTAGAAACAAGATTGACATGGTCATAAGCCATACAAAACCACTACTACAGTTTGAGTTCTTCATTGTTTTAACTTTCAAGCATTTGGCTTTACTTCTTATATTGAAGGTAAAATTTAGTGATTATGGCTTAACCCTGAAGAAGTTATGGTTTTATATGCTATTAGGAGTGTAAAACTATATTAATATAACAGATTATGTAAGGTGCACTAAGCATAGGATTGGCATAAACTTAATGGTTTAGGGAATTTAATATCGACTGAAATGTTGGATAACTGTGGTTGAGCCAATGAGGTTAGTTAGTCGGTAGTAAGCTTTGTGTTGTTGCATCATAGTTATTTACACAGCTACCACTTTTGTTATTTTAAATGGGGATAACGAAGATGCAGTTATGTTTTTCTATTTCTCTTCTTGTTTTGGCGAATCAATATGAAGTTATGTGGTGCTTACTTGTGGTCTCACTTATCCACACAATTTAGTGGTATGTTAACAATAGATTGTCCAATTAAAATGCATGTCTAATTTAGTGCTCGTTATGGCCGACGTGGCGAAGCCATAACGGCGTCGTAACAGGCTCAACACCGCCCCCTTGCTCGTTTCTTCTCGTTGTGGCACATCTCGTCTCCGTTACGACCGATTAAAACGGGGAAAAAAATAACTGTTGTGCAATGGAACGTTTGCCAACCGTCAAAATGTAAATTAAAAAAAAAAAAAAAAAAACTTTTACCCCTTAACTTTTATATAAATACAACATATTTAACCTTTTTTTTACACTTTTCTCTCATTCTTTCTATATTTTATAAAGTTTACACTTTCTTCTCAACCAAAAAAATGGATCAAAACCCAAACACCCTTCAAATAAGTCACTATGTTTTCAATTTCTTGTAATTCTGACCAATTGACCAGTTGGCTTCAGATCAGTCGGTTGCACTGCTGACGTGTCAAAAGCAAAAAAAAATGGTGCAAAAACATTATGTTTTCAATTTTTTGTGATTTTGACACTAAGATTGCAATCTTTTCTAATATTAGCACTAATATTAGCACTAAGTTTTCAATTTTCTCCAATTTGCAACATAAATAAAATAAACATATGCAAAGACATATACAAAAAGAAACAATAGTTCATAAAAAAATATCATTCATAATTCCTTTTCAAACAACGATCTTTACCATTAAACAATGTAGATATTGAAAACATAAACATATAAATCCTAAAGTACAACTTAGTTATGATCTTGTTCTTGTGACACGTTCGATTGAAATCATAAGGTTGTTTTCATTGAGCCTCATTAGTTATTACAGAGAAATTGGAAATTGAAAGTAGGTTTTCATAACTAGGAACTTTTGGTAAGTTACATAGCTATTTTTTGCAATTAAACCATTTGAAGTGGAACCAAAACTTGGACCATGCATAGAAAGCAAAAGAAATAGACTTGTAAGATTGATGTAGTAACATATATAAAATCCCGAAATAACATAAAGAGCACCGATCTTGATGGAGTTACTAAGCTGTTTTTCATATATGAAATCATAATACAACATAAGACCGTTAGGTTAGATATTTTTAACTTACCAAGACACTCGATTTGAATGATTGTTTTTTCATCATTTTAACTTATAGGTTAGGATGTTTATTTCGTTTGCTTTTTGTATGTGGTCAAAGCTTTGGTTCCACTTCAAAATGGTTTATTGCAAAAAATAACTATGTAACTTAGCAAGAGTTACTAGTTATGTAAACCTACTTTCAATTTCTCTGTAACAACCAATGAGGTTCAATGAAAAACCAACTTATGATTTCAATCGAACGTGTCATGGGGACAAGATCATGAATAAGTTGTACTTTGGGATTTAAGTGATCCTGTTTTCAATACCTATATTGTTTTTGTGGTAAACGTCATTGTTTGAAAATGAATTAGGAATGATATAATTTTTTTTATGAACCATCGTTTTCTTGTTGTTTATGTATTTGCATATATTTTTTTCATTTATGTTGAAAATTGGAAAAGATTGAAAACTTAGTGTCGAAAGCACAAAAATTTGAAAATATAGTGTCTGTTGCGCCATTTTTTTCGCTTCTTTGCAACCGGGCCAACCTGTCAAAAATGCAACAAATTGAAAACATAGTCACTTATTTGTAACAAAAATAACTTGATCATAAAAAAAATAAAAAATTAATGTGTGCCGTTAATAAAAAGTTAATGATTTTTGCTATCATGCATCCAGTCCGTTTAGCATAAGCAATTCTCCCATTTTCAAGTACCACCCTTTGGTAGTAAAAGCATCTCTAGAGCTGACAACTTGATTGCCTGTTGATGAATTCCAAATGGTAAGTAAAACAGACACTGAAGCTCAATATCCAGCTCCGAGAAATTACAAACGAGCAAAGATATTTTTGGAGCTAGCGATCACCATTAACACACCTTTTTCATGAAGTCGAGTAATTGTTAGCCAATGATAATGATATAGCTAGATTTTGGTGGGGTCTGATTTTATCACAACCGTGCAAACTAAACAAGAATTATCGATCAGAATGCTGTGGCGGTTATCTCCAATATTTCTCCCTTCCAATCCAATTTTTTGTTTAATTCAAAATGGTTTGTTCACTCGACGTAGCAAATCTAGGGCTTCGATTCAATCCTTTCCCTCATACCGATACTACTTTTATCAATCAAAGAAGGATTCGACCTCGCTCTGTAATCGCATTTCCCACATCCGATTGTCTGAAGCATCGTCTTCTCCGAAGTATCTCGTGTTCTACAGTCGACGAACAACAGATTCAGCAAGCGTTTAGTGATGCTGAGAACTCACTCATCAGTAGTCTCATTGGCATCCAAGGACGTGGTCGCTCTGCTTCTCCTCAGCAACTCAAAGTAACACCCTCTTCCTCTTCTCTGTTTTAACTCACCAAATTCTATGATTATGACACTGCGTATCTTCTCCAATCATCAAATTTGCAATCGCTTATAATCGCATAACATTATATTTCTGAATTGTGTAGGAAGTCGAACAAGCCGTGACAGTTCTAGAAGCTACTAAAGGTGTCCCTGATCCTGTAAGTAGTTAAAAAACCCTAAACTTTTTTAGTTTTATTCATCCGATTCAAGTGTGAGCTCAATTCTGCAGACCAGTTCGAGTCTAATCGAGGGCCGATGGCAATTGATTTTCACAACAAGACCTGGAACAGCTTCCCCGATCCAGGTTACATGTTACCGCATCTCCGATGAAGATCCAATGCAAACATTTACCTCCAAAATTAACCAAACCTTCATGATTCTTGTAGAGAACATTCGTCGGAGTCGACTTGTTCAGTGTATTCCAAGAAATTTACCTTCAAACAAACGATCCACGAGTCTCCAATATCGTCAAATTCTCCGATTCAATAGGTGAACTTAAAGTCGAGGTACGCCATTGTCGACCAATTCCTCGCTCTTCACATAGATTCGATTGTTGCGTTTTGACAGTTGACACGATCTAATTGATTTAAACTCAGGCTGCCGCTGCAATCAACGATGGAAAAAGGATTCTTTTCCGTTTCGATAAAGCAGCATTCTCATTCAAGTTTCTTCCCTTCAAAGTTCCATATCCGGTGCCTTTTAAACTCCTCGGAGACGAAGCAAAAGGTTGGTTAGACACAACATACTTGTCGGAATCCGGAAACCTTCGTATCTCAAGAGGAAATAAGGTAACCCTAGTTCATGTTTCTTTTAATGCTTAAACTCCATGTTCATGAAGGATCAGGATCTACGTTGGTGTAGTGCAGGGGACGACGTTTGTTCTTCAGAAGCAAACGGAACCCCGGCAAAGATTGATTTCTGCAATTTCCACCGGTCGTTCAGTGATTCAGGTAACCATTTCAGATCTTCTCGACGAATCTTTGAAGTTTGTTTTCTAGAAAAAAAAAATTCTTTTTTTTTTCCTAAAAAATTTGTATTTGTGCAAGGCGATTGACGAGTTTATGTCATTAAATCAAACGAAGGGTGAACAACAACTCATTGAAGGCGAATGGCAAATGATTTGGAGTTCACAGGTTTTAATTTTATTATATATCAAAATATCAAATATCAAAAAAGGGTATTTAAGTCATTTCACTAAAATTAAACAATTTCCTTAAAAAATTACTATTTTTGCAGATGGAAACGGATAGTTGGATAGAGAATGCAGCTAATGGTCTTATGGGTTCACAGGTACAAAGTTCAAATGTAGCTTTTCAAAATTTTAACACAGACATTTTTTTTTGTTACAAATCTTATGATGCTGAATAACTTTTCATTTTTTCTATATTGTATTAATCCAAATTGTTTATTGTGATATTTAGATTGTTAAAGAAAATGGGAGACTCAAGTTTCTTGTTGACATATCGTTTGGGGTCAAATTCTCCATGAATGGAACATTTGAGTAATTTTTATCTCAAATCTTAAAAACCCTGAAGATGGTATTTAAGTATTTAAGTGTAACTTGATTTTTTTTTATGTAGAAAATGTGACACAAATGTATATGATGTGATGATGGATGATGGTGCAATAGTAATTGGACCATATGGGCTTCCAGTTGAGCTAGTAACCAAATTTAAATTGGAAGTCTTGTAAGGACTCAAATCAAAATTTACTATTTTTTATTCTCTTCTATATTTGCATGGTAATTTAATTTAATTTTTTTTTTATTTTTTTGTAGGTATTCGGATGACAAAATCAGGATAAGCCGGGGATACAGCAAGATTCTCTTTGTCCACATCCGTGTTGGAAGTTGATGAAATACGGAATTTGCATTTTTATAAAAAGTAAGTTTTAAAAAAAAAGATCCAGATACCATATTGCTTGTTTGAGAACTTTGAAGATTTTTACATTGTGATTAAGAAATTGTAATTAATGGTGTATATGCTTTAACCACAGCTCAATACATATCTTTGTCTAAATTTTAAAATTTTGTCCTGGATTACTAACGAAATGTGATTGTTCTTGTGACATTTTGGACAAAATATTCAAACAACAAATGTTTAGTCATCGAAATAATCCAATTATAACTTCATTTCACGTGAAACATTTACTAACTGTAAAAAGGGTATGCAACAAAAATGACCTCAAAAGTCGAAAGCATATAGGATATAATAGTAAGATAACGTTATTTGGAATATTTATGTACAAACATTTAATAGTTCACCTATTTTACTATCATAACATATTTGGAATATTTACATACAAAGTACAAACATTCAACATCCCACCTGGTTTATAACACTTTCACGATAGGAGACTAGAATTCAAGGTTTTAAAAACATGCTTAACAGGTCTCCGTGCAGCATAAGGGTGCAATTCTTGACACCACCCATGACACACGCCACGAAGATAAACACGTTTGGGTTGAGTTTTTCTGACCTGACAACATGTTTATTATACTAATCGTGTTTAGTTTTGCAAATAATTTCACTTGACATATGAACCTGTTTATTTTATTAAATTAAAAAAATTATAAGTATATTTATTAGAAAGGAAAGAAAATAAAGATTAATAACTAAATATGTGATAGTCAAATATCTTTTCCCTTGGCCGGTTTTGCCATAGGTCTAAATCATGTATTAAGTGTTTACGTTATCGTAGAAATTGGAATTGTGGCCATGTATCTTTTGCATTAACGTTTTTAATTATTTGTATCAATACTTGGATTTTGATGATTTCATTTGTTGTGTTTGCATCAATGTTTTTAGCTTTTTATTTGGATGTGTTTATCACTTTATTAATTAACTTTTTGGAATTTGAATATGCTTAGCAGATTATTTTCTGAAAATTTTCCTAATTAAACAAATGTGACCCGTGAACCCAATTCTCCCTCTCAAACTTGAATCTAACATGCGACCCGTATAATTAAACAGGTTACACAAGTCATGTCTGAGTTTGGCTTATGCGGGTTAGGGTTGAGCAAGACACACAAATATTTATATAAGTCGTGTTCAGATTGGACTTTTTGATCTACCATCCAAAACACCAACACGATTGTCACTCCTAATTTTCACATTATTTTCTCCATCTACATCTCTTTTTTCCATATTTGATCAAAGTAGTCTTTTCTCTTGTACTTATTAATTATACACATTTATTATTAAGGTATTTATCTAATTACCCGCAAACAAAAAATCTCACATTTTAACCACCTATTATGGAAAAAAAAAACATCATATAACTACCTAAGATTTTCGAAAATCATAAACTTCGAAAATATAAAGATTTTTGTATATCTGTATTCCTTTCAAAGTGATCCCCTTCTATATAAGGTGTTGTCTTTTTCGCAAGTTTCTCATTAGTTTAAAATTTCAACTTCGAAAATCATTATATTTTGTTTTCTTGAAAATTTGGTCGAAAAACAGAAAACATATATTCGAAAACATGTGAAGCGGTTACATTTTTGTAATTGTTTTTCACAAACAAATGTACATTTTATCTTCGAAATAAGTGAACATTTTTGAAACACATGAAGTTAATATTTTCGAGAAAAACACGAACTAGTTCGAAAATCTAGACAACTACTTTTGAAATACTATTTCTAACTTATGGACTGTCTTTTGGCAGAAAAAAGAAAAAAGAGTTCCAGATTATATATACTCAGCACATTATCAAAACAAGATAAATAAAGCAAACTAATCAAATATTCATGTATATGACATGAAACATTTAGGCTCATGGACCAACACTTACAATGAGAGTTAGAGGTACTGGTAGGTCTTATTATCGAAATTCTTTATCAATCTAGGAGTTGGAACTGTTTTTTTGGCAATATATCATCCTATCAGAAGGCTCTAGTATAAGTAGGATCTCGAGAGCTCTAGATAGGATCCATGCTAGAAAATTATTAATATTTTACTATCTATTTTAACAATCTTTCAAGTGAAAGTGTATAAGAGACAAATCTTTCACATGAAGGAATATCAAAAAATATCACAGAAGACCCTATATTGAGTCTTTTTTTCAGATTAAACTCAAACTTTTTTCCTCAAAAAAAACATTGCATTTTCCTTTTTTTTTCAACTTGGCTCCTTTTAGCAAAAGTTACAAGTAATCTTCCAGTTTTAGACATTTTTTTTCGAAAAAAAACCCTTAGACTTTTTTTTAGAAAGAACTCACATATAAAAAAATGAAATCTAGATGTGATTTGATCAATACTGATGTCATTATATTATTATGAGACTTAATTATTATTTCCATTTGAACCAATTTTTTTATTTATAATTCTCATGTTTTTTGTTGTTGTTTATAGTAAATTTTTAATGGTTTTTAGCATTAGGATCGGGAAGAAAACGTTTAATTTGCTCGAAACAATGAGAAAGACTAATGTGTCCAATTCTTGTTGGAAAAATGCATATCATAATCTATTTTATATACAAGATGCTCAGAGAATATAACATGTGACAATGAAGAAGAGTCATCTAAGTTGGCTTGATATATTACATTGTTTTAAGGACCAAATTGAAAGACAACTTCCGAACACCCCAAATATGTTTAGAATATAATCTAAGCTTTCATATTTTCCCGTTAGAAACATTGTCAAGCTAAACTAGACAACAGCCACGCTATCTCCTCAACCATCAGTCAGATTCAGCCATGTTAAGCAGTTAGTTTTTTTTTTTTTTTTTTTTTTTTTTGGCCTTTATGCCATATTCCAACTTGTGGCAAATTTATAATTCTGGATGACCATTTCATTCCACTCAAAGTGTATATTATATACAAAGTAATTGCAATTAAGCTAAGAAACTAAGGTGGAACCGGACCGGAACCGGAACCGGTATTGCGAAATCATAAGAATCGGGAACCGAACCTCTTGTTTCGGTGCCGGTTCCGATTCCGGTTCTGGTTTTTCGGTTATTTTTTCAAACAAGAATCGGTTGTAACGCCCCAAATTTCAAATATAAATGTAACTTAACATAGTCCCAAAATTTCCAAAAATCAAGATTCAAATACAAATGTAATTATTAATAATAATAGCGGAAGCAAATAGAAATTTAATTAAACACTTGATGCGCTACGTCTTCCTCAAAACTTGTCGCCTTCTTCAAGTCCGAACTTTATCATTTCCATTCCCGCTGCCACTTGCTACGTTATTTCCTGGGTTGCGTGCATTTAAAGATTCTAATTGGTAAGCCTAGGGCCTAGTGAGTTCGTGGTTTTCATGCATACTGACATCAATAAAATAAAAATAATGCAACAATTTATCAATATAATTCTTTTCATTTCTTTCCACCCTTGATGACACATTAGGGAACTACTGTCATTTTCAGGGAACAAGTCCATCCGCCGGGCACAACAAATATGCTTACGGCTATATAAACAGGGCGTAAGCTCTCCGTCGCGTACTAACACCCTGTACGACGACTAATAATAAGACCGTGTAAATACACCTGTTCCCTACATGTCACCCACCATTTCCACCCTTTTATATGAAATAAATCACAAAATTTCACACAAATATTCATAGCAATAACAACA